ATTAACTGATATAGCGATGGTGCCACCCATTCTCATGGCGGGGTTAAAGTCAACCGGTTATAAATCCAAAAGGAGTGACCGCACTCTGACTGGAGCGACTTTAGAAATGGAAATACTCAGTCAATGTGGAGAGAGTAAAATGAGGGACTTCAAGCCATCTCCAATGAATCATGGAAAGGGAAGTGTTGCAGGACAACTAACACCAGTGGAATACAACAGATTGACAGTGTCTGAGACAGTGTCGATAGATGAACCCACCGGTGGATACATGGAGATGTTGGAATACCGAAACTCGGCTAGAGGGCATGTAATGGCCCTGGAAGAGGAAAAAGCCATGGAGGGTTATCTGGAAACAATGTTGCAAGGCACCACCCTCAAGCAGAAGGCGTACGGAACTTTGGCGTCGTCTGACGTACAGGCGGAGACGATCGAGCAGTTGGTGAGCCTTCCATGGAAAGCAGTAGTATTGAGGTATTTCGAAGAGGAAATGAGGACTACGCCAAGAATACATGCTCTCGTGGCAGTACCTTACGTAAGGACAGAATTACAACTCAGGCTCGCCTGGTGCATGATGGGACTGACTAGCGAAGAATATGATTCGGGAGAAAGGAAGAGATCAAAGGAGGAAAAAGTTTTCCTTATGACGAATCTGAGGGATCTGATAGTCCAGGAGGGAGCAGCAGTAGCGTGTGCAAAGCGGAGAGACGCTCTCTGTTTCATTCGATTCCTGATAGAGCAGATTTCAGTACCTGCATTAAGCACTTGTGTTAAAATGTTGAAGGAAGGCGATGAGCGAACGAAAGCCATGTTCTTACTAGCAATGCTGGATATGCAGCAAAGTAAACCGATGAGGGTGAACATGAAAGAACCTGAAGAACTGGAACCCATGAAAAAGATAGACGAGATCAGGAGATTTTCAAACAAGGAGTTGAGGCTCACTAAAGAATCTATGGGAGCATTGCCAAAATCCAGTGAATACTGTGGACCGATCAAGAAGAAGTCCTATAGCTATGTGTCCGGGATTATAGGGATAGCATACAATCCTTTCCTGAGTGAAGACATACGTGATTGCTTCTTTGATTATGAGCAGGCGGTGTTACTAAGATTCTGGACGTCCAGAATTGTGACGACTAAGAGCGTTAGCAATCCACAGGCCAAATTGGGATTGGTCTTGGAAGAAGAGGTGACTGCACCTTCAGTACCAAAATCTGACAAGAGAGTGGAATTTGGGTTGGGATTCTCAGATGAATTACTGAGAACGAGCTTGATGGCAGTGTGGGAATTGATGAAGCCATCGTGGTGTCCTAGTCCCAACGCTGACTCAATATTACGGGCGACACAGGACGTACAGAGGGAACTGAATGTGGACTGTAACCTGCGTGACCTCAACATCATATATAATGTGATGATAACAGCCTCTAAGAGCAACGGAGAAGATAGAGTGGAGTTGCCTGGCTGGGGACCAGAAGACTGGGTCAAACCTGGTAGCTGTCTGGCGGAAGTCTGTGGACTAGAGGGTCACGTTTGTGGAAGTCTAGACTGTGTGAAAACCCTGGAGAAACAACACAAGCAGTTGACGGTATTGTTTGGAAATGTAGTGATGAAAGCAAGAACGGAAACGGAACTGATAGCAGATTGCCATGGAGGAACCGATGTGAATCTAGTGACAGCACTAGGATTCTACAGCATGTTTGGTTCTTTAGAGTCACTATTGAATCTAGAACAGAAACATGAGATGGTCACAGCCATCAGCGTAGAAGTATTCCCAGGAGTTCTGCAGACTGAGCAGAAGTATATAGGAAAATGGAGGGAAGCAATCGAAACGGAGATGAACATCAGACACAGCGAAACTTATTGTAGACCATCAGGAGCACGATATTTGGTGGGTTCAACGTTGGCTCCAATGTGCAAGAGCAGATACCCTGTACATTTCGTGGCTGTGGACGTGAAGAGCACAAGAACGATCGTGGATCAAGCTTTCTCAGTGCCAAAGTGCGTGAGATTGGCGAGAATGTCTGAAAAGTCTTACGAGTTACTATGTAAGATGTTCTCAGCAGTCCCAGAAAGAACCAAAGAGGAGTTGGAGTCAATACTAGGAAAGAAGTTCATGGGATATACGAGCGGGAACTTCAGTGACTTCGAAAAACAGAAACAGAGAGGATCAACTGTCTCAGATTACAATGCAGTAGATGAGAATGATGAAATCCACCGAGTGATGATGGAAGTGGAACCATTGCTGGAAGCTTCGGGAAAACGTAATTGGAGGAGCATCATGTTGACACATGACGAGTTTCCTTGCCACTGCTTGCTGCAGACCTGGTGGTATCCCAAGCGTAGTAATCTGGTGTTGATCTGGGACTCTGGAGAGCTGCTCTCCATGGGTTTACCAGATTCATCACAGCCCATAACAATAGTGATAGTGGGAGTTATGATGGCGATACGATGGCTGGAAGCTCATGTGAGAGAAAATAATGGACAGGAAGCACCGACGAGAGAACAATTGCAGAAATTAGATTGTCTAAAAGATTTAGATCTTTTTGAGACAATGTGCAAAGTTCTAAACATTCCGATGGAAGTGAAGAAGATATGGGCAAGAAAACGATTGATGCCATGGTTCAGAGCTAACATGACTGCATGGTTGTACGAATATGCGAAAAAGCATATGTCGAAGCATGGCAGAGTGTACAGTGAATATCAGCTGGACATTGGGGCAGGAGCTTTCAAGCGAGCTTTCGTGACCCATCGGAATGCAGTGACCACCGCTGTGAAAAGAATTTCCAGGACGAGCGAGCGTAGTGGAAATGAGAAGGCAGAGATGCTGAAAGAAGATTTGGAGAGAAACGTGACGTTGTGTCTCCACAACAGCTTCTGTAGAAACAGAGAATCAAACGTGGATCCCCTACCTTGCTGTAAACAGAGGGTGGAAGAGCAGAAGTGTTGGAGGACGGCTTCCAACAGCGTCAGGATAGTCAATGACGTGCTACAAGACACGGAGACCGAGAGTGCAGAGTCAGCGTCACAGGAGGAGGAAATGGAGCATTGATGAATGGTCGAGAAAACAAGAGGCAACAAGAAAGAAAATTAGAAGAATTTAGAAGTTTTAGAACTTCTAAACGACGAAAAAAGAAGAGAACAAAGGGATAATGAAGAAAAGTTAAAACTCAAAATTGTTTTATGTGTGTGAAAAACTCAAATGAGAAACCAAGCAACCAAGTTGTAATTGAAAACTGAAACATTTAAGTTGAGTTTGGAAATTGTTGCATTTATAAATTTGCATTTTGGTTTTAGTTGAAGTGGCTTTAGAGACACTCACTTATTATTTATTTAGAAAGGCTTGAGGGAAGAGTATATTTAAATATTCCAGCCTGCATGATTGTTTTTTAATCACTTAGGAAGACTGATCACTTTGTGGTGACATGAAAAACTTGAGTAACTTCTTGAGGAGGGAGGTTGTTGCATTGTTCTTTCTAACCACAAAGTTCCTTAGTTTTAATATTCAGGACAATAAACAAGCAAGATTTCCGAAGGGAAGGAGCATAGTAGGATAATTTTAGCTTGTTGGTTGGCAGGACTGTCCTGCAAGCCAACAACTTTTAAATCTAGGAGAAAAAGTTTCAATCGGGATATTGACACTGGAAGTCAGAAAATATGTTTTATCTTAAGTCATATCCTCAATGTGCAGATTAATGAAAGAATTTGAAGGCTATAGTGATGTAGGATGATGCCATTTATATTCTGCAGTGAGTCGATGTGACGTAGGTAAAAGTAATTTCGTGCATTTTGTAAATTCTGTTCGATGACACTGTAACCACTTAGAACATTGCGCGATTCAATGAGGACATTGACCGGACTGTCCGGGGAGTATGTGACATTCGACCAGAATGGCCAAAATGCAGTCTCTGCAGAATTCGGTATTTTAGCAGCAAGCCTTCCGAATTGGTGATTTAGAACGGATAAGGACGTTATTTGAACGATTAGCCAAACGGTGAAGGCTAGAAGATTCTGGAATTCTAATTTTTAAAAATTCGAATTATGACGTCATATTTCTGAGAAACGTCAGAAACGGCCATTTTTAGCTAAAAGAGCAAGAAAAAAACAGAACAACTTTTATCTGCGATTACGAACAGTACGAAGTCGAGACTAAAAAACTACAACGAACTACCGAACAGCAGAGGACGTTCCGAGTTGCAACTATTGTGCTGTTACAATAGTTGCAAGGCCGTTGCGAGCAACGGTGAAGGGTAAAACCCAGCCTTCCGAGTTATTGTGAACTGGATATTAAGAAGCTTGATTCACCGGATTCAAGAATCCGGAAGGGTCTCGGGACGTGGACTTTTATGAACTTATATTGAATTTTAGCATCCGTCATGTCCTGACTTGAATTTAATTAAGATCTTAATTCGTTTTGACAAGAATGAGGAGCTAGAAGTAGGGGGGAAAGGGTTGATCCATCTTCGATGGAGATGATGATTTTTATCTACTGAACAAAAACAATAGTAATATAATAAGTAGTAGCCCTGTTTTTAGGAGTGACCTCGTGGTCTGGGGATACTGAGACCCAGCCATGAGCTCACTATTTTTGCATGTAATTCAGTTAATTTGAGCGTTCTGGTCGAAGCCGGAGAACAGTAACGTTTTTGTCAGCCTGATGTAAGAAAGACCACCGAAAAGTACTGGCTTGGTAGAGACGGTGAAAAACATGCAAAGCTCTGTTTAGACGCTAGCCAGTCGTCTTAAGACTTAGTTTTGTTATCCGTCGATATGTATCTTCCGGGCGAATGTTACATTTGCATGTAATTTAGTTAATTTGAGCGTTCTGGTCGAAGCCGGAGAACAGTAGCGTTTTTGTCAGCCTGATGTAAGAGAGACCACCGAAAAGTACTGGCTTGGTAGAGACGGTGAAAAACATGCAAAGCTCTGTTTAGACGCTAGCCAGTCGTCTTAAGACTTAGTTTTGTTATCCGTCGATATGTATCTTCCGGGCGAATGTTACAATTAAATCAGCAAAGTCTAACATTCAATACAGTGAAACCAAGTGAAGAACACTGTAGGAAAGTGAAGAACACTGTAGGGAACACATTAAGTCTTTTGAGGAGAACTTCTTTTAAGAACGTTATGAGTGACAACTCGGGAGCTTCTCCTGGTGGAAAACAGTCGGGCTCTAATTTAAACGAAAAGAATTCTTTGGCCGCAGTGCTTTCGAAACTACAGCAAATAAAAACACAGGGAAGCTTGAGTTCTCCCTCAACTTCTAAAGGTTATAATGATAATGAAAATGCATCAGGAGCTATTCCGCTGCCTGGACACCCGGTCAGTCAAAAAATCTCAAGTTCACCAGACAAGTCTCTCTACAAGCTTACTTTTGCCGGATCATCTACTGATTTTGGCCTGTATGTGAACATACCAAATTCTTACAACCCTACACTTCTCCCAGATGCACCAATATCGGCCATTGCAGGCTCTAATGACCGACTGGCAATCATTTGTCGTATTTGTCGAATGGGATTTAGTCGAACTGAAGAACGTGAGAAGCATCTGGGGCGAAAATCGATTAAAATTTCTTGTGGTTGCTCCGATACCTGTGCAAAAAAAGAAACCGTGTATTTCAATAAGTGCACCTTTTATCTCCATTTGATGAGCGAGAAGGTAAAGTCGTCAATATCACACCCGCTCGAACTCTCAAAAGCAAAAGTAAGCAAGCTTGAACCTGAAGATTATCCCATCGTTTCCCAAGAATGGTTCCATGCCCTTGAAAAGGGAGCGCCTTCAACCGAGTCGTTGATTCGAGAGAAAATCAAAAAGATTATGAAAGCTAATGAGATCTGGACCGAAAACCTGCCGAAGGACTTCTGTCCTGTGTGTGAAGCAAAAGTCTCCAGCGTCGCCGATCATTTGCAAGCTTTTGTTCCTTTAGAAGAGCAAAACTGTTCTTTGTGTTCTAAGACGAGCCTCATCAATCCATGTGCATTTACCAGTCACCAATCGTTGCACGTCAACCCTTCTTGCCGGGTTTGTCCTGAGTGCGGCTTTTTTGTTGAGCGAATTGAAGATTTCAATAAGCATCTGAAGGGTTGCCATCATTTCAACAAGATATCTGGCTTCCGTTGCATTAATTGTCAGCTGAATTTCACTAAAATTTCAGTCATGGTTGACCATGTAGCCAAAAAGCATTCAGAATTCTTCCTTAAGTGCTCAATTTGCACTTTGGCTTTCAAGAGCGAATCTTCTGTCATAGCGCATTATGCGAATGCCCACTCTACAAAAGTAACTGCTGATTATGCAAAAGAGCTGCAGCATCTATTCAAATGTTTGATCTGCGAAGAGTTGACTATTGGAGATGATGCAATTAAAGAGCATGTGAGTGCACAGCATGTGAATCTGTCCCGTGTCCGCAGGTTTTTCTATTTTCGGTGTCCATCTTGTGCGAAAGTTTATGAGTCGAAAGCTGAACTGGTGAGTCACTTAGCAGCCTCTGACGACCCAGGACACAATTCTTGGAAGAGTAACGAGTCCATATGCGATGTTTGCCATGAAACGTTTCCAAAACATATAGATATGGTTGCGCACAGACTAGCAAACCACGAGGAAGCTCTACAAAAATTTACACCAGCTGTTCCAATGCAGCATGACTCGTTTTCGGGAATGAGCGACAAGAACAGTTCGGGTAGCCGGGGATCCGAGCAGCAGTCATCGGGAGGTGGGCTTCGAATTTTGATCTGTCCTCACCCCAACTGCTCGACTTCTGGAAATCAGTATCTCCATGCGTTCCAGTTAGAGCTGCATACTGCAGTGAACCACGCGCCTCGGCCGTGTCAATTTTGTGAATCTGTATTTCACGGTAACTCTGCTTTCGAAAAGCACCTATTGATTGATCATGGAAAAGGAAATGTTGCAGACGCTTTCGAGTGCATTTTCTGTCAGAGTAAGTTTGACAACAGTGTCACAAGAAATCACCACGTAACTTTGTTCCACGGGTGGGGACAAAACGTCGGAGGTGGTGTGACGAGCAGCTCATCTTCAGGCAGTTCAAACTTGTCAGGTAGCAACTCAGTCAGCAAGCTTGAATGCAAAGTCTGTGCTCTTTCATTCGATAAATTTTCAACATGTAAAGACCATTTCTCGCTGGTGCACCCGTCTGGATTCAACTTTGTTTGTGTGAATTGTTCTGCTCCGAGTGAATCAGACTCTCTTGCTAGTGGACACGGGAGTTTTCTAACGTTTGACTCTTTGGCGGAATTTAAAGAGCACCAAACGAAGGAACATAGATTCGATCTACCGAAGCCGGCCAAAATTGGGAGATTTATGACTACAGGTGAGGAGCAAACAACTGCTGCTTCGACTGCATTTGCGTGTATTAGAGGGGACTTCTCGACTACAGACAGAGCTGAGTTTGTGTGGCATATTCAACAACATGCCGATAAGGCACAGCCATGGCAGTGTTGTGAGTGTGGGTTCAACATGGGGCAGGAAGCGGGTCTGAAAAGTCACTTGGCAACCCAACATAACGTGAAGAACTACGATGAGTACAAAAATGCAGTGATGAAAAAACCGGGAGGCTCTGAGAAGTGTGCAAAGCAAAGTCGAACTTCGCTGACCGCAGCCAACCCACTTGTGTGCAATGTCTGTTTCCGCAAATTCGATCAGTTTGTAGACTACAAAGCACACCGTGATTCAGCACACTGAATTGGATTTGTCAAAAACTGCTTTTCTTTGCCAAATAACTGACTAGTTGTCTTCAAACTTGAAATTTTCATCTGTTAAATGCTTGATCATTCATTTCAATTGATTTCGTTTTGTTTGAGTTCTTTAAAGACCTCCTTATCGAAGAAAAAACTCTAAACTGCAAAAGTGTCCTATAGATAATGAGTCGAAAGCTGAACTGGTCAGTCACTTATCAGCCTTTGACGACCCAGGGCACAATTGTTGGAAGAGTAAGGAGTCTATATGCGATGTTTGCCATGATACATTTCCTAAACATATAGATATGGTTTCGCACAGATGAGGTTCATAGGTTTTTTTTTGCAAGACCCGTCTTTTTTTTGGATGTGTGGTCAGAAACTATTTACTTTTTTGAAATTCAAACCGGATATTGTTATTTGTTTTTACACTTGCGAGAGCAAACGTCTTGTTCTCGGAAACTAGTTTTTTTTCTTCTAAATAACTTTTCTTACTTATCTTACTTGCTTTTCTTAAAAACTTCTAGGTTCGTTTGTCCCACTTGGCCTTGAGGTAACGTGGTCGCCTTTGCACTCTATGGTCTGGGGCTCAAGTACCGGCCAGACTTTGATTTTTTCAGCATGTTTGAAATTGAAAACCAGTAATAATTGAATTGTCGGATTTTCGTTTGTCTGCTCAAGTTTGTCGCCTTAGTTGCCACACCAGGTGCAAAATTATGGCCTTTTCTTGTGCTGAAAGCAATTTTATTATAGCTCCTAGTGTCGTACATTGTTGTTTCAGGGCGGGGGGGTCTTTTTTTTTACAAAAAAAAACTTTTTTTCTGCTCATAGGATGTTGACTTTGTTCCGCTTCGTAAGTTTTGTTCTGCTGCTAATTTAATTTTTAAATGTTCTGCTTGGCATTGTACCTAGAATGAACTTTCGTCGAGACATACGGAGTTTTTGGGAAACGATGTATTTTTTCCCATGTTTTTTTTTCAACTTACGTTTTTTTGCGTGTTTGTTGTATCGCAAGTAACGCGAAGCTATGTTTCGCCTCTGTGTTAATATTTTACTACGGGAACTTTTCTTTCCAATTTTAGTGTAAACTTTTCATGTTTTGTTTTGTGTTCTTCGTCCAAGACATTAATTACTGTCATCATTGATGTTTGGCTCAGAATCTACTTGCTTCCAAAAGATCGATACATTTGTTTGCTGGTAATTCCAATATGCAAAAAATCCCTTTGTTGCTGTGTTTTCTAGAGAAAGTTCAAACTGACCACTAAGGTATCTAAAGTAGTTTTGTTTAGGAGCCGATGAACGTAGTTCTTAAAAGTTGTTCAGGCTCAAAATTTCTTTTTCGCTGTTGTACTTTTGATTTTTTTAAATTTCTGTTCATTTCCTCTTAAAAGGAAAGCAAGCTACCCTGTCAAACAGCGAAAGTGTGAAGGTGGCTAATAACGTGATCGACATCAAATTTCGTTCATAGAACTTAATTATCAGATTTCCCAGCGAATTTTTTTAAACACATTGATCCAGTTTTCTCCAAGGGGGTTAACTTAGTGAAAAAGTGTCAATCATAAATTGTATTAGAAATTCAAAGAGATTTCAGAATACAAAAAGTGTCAATTTTAAATTGTTGTAGAAGTTCAAAAAGATTTGAGGCCATCTATTTTTTATTTCGAAATACGAAGGTTGATATTTTTCAAAAAAGAAGCCCGTTTGTTTCTCTCAGTATAATTGCGTTCATTGACTCTTTTCCAAAGGTTTGTTGGCTTTGTTTACCCTTGCGGTAAGCAAGTGAATTTCAATCCGGAACTCGACTTATTTCCTGTAAATAACTTTGTTCACAGAATCGGATATCCAATTTCAAGATCTCCATTTCTATCCAAGTTGTACGTTTAACAGTTATAGTTTAACAGCTATAGTTGAACAGCTGATGTAGAGCTACTCAAGTGATAGTGGGTCTATATCTTGAAAAGTTTTCAGATATGTATTGATTTTTGTCGGCGTTTACTGATTTCGGTCCGTTTTTTGTCAGTTTAGTTGCCTCGAGTTTTATTTCTTTTGACAACTTTTTGCTAGCTGTTTTAAGTATTTTTTCATGTTCCATTTTTTCATGTTTTACTTGCTGTTATCAGTATTTTCCATGTTCCATTTTAATTAATGCATTATCTGTTTTTATGCACGCTGAAATTTTCTGTTAGACTTGCTTCAATTTTTCAGTTTTTTCGAATGCATAATTTCTGATTTTTTATAGATCTATAAGTGCGTGGAATTTTTTCTGAAATTTTTTAAATTGTGTGTTTGTTTCAGTATTGAACAATTTTCATTAAATAGATTCAAGCTGATGACATAGCGTATTGTTTTAGTATGTCAAAAAGTTTTCGAAACATCATACATTTCCAGAATTTGGGTTTGCAAATTTGACTTGGCTATTTTTTCTAGGAAGATGCGCTTTTTCTGGCCGAAGTTTTTTTGAGAAAGCAAAATGAAATCGTGTTTTTTGTATTTCATCTACGGGTCTCTTTTTTTGGTGTGATCCAGCTCTCATAACGTTGGGTATCAGCTTCATATTCGATAAATTTGTTGTAATGGGGTTATTTTAATAAGCTTATAGATTTTTTGCAAGTTTATTTTTGTGGAAATTAATTGAAACTTCTGCATATTTTTTTTCTATACAGCAAAAAACAAAGGGAGTATCTTATGCCCAATTGCTCCTGTATGATATGCAGGTCGTTTGGGTGCAAAATTTTAAGCAAATTGTTTCAGCATATTTATGAATGTTTGTGTCTCGATGTTTTCACCAATTTTTTTTTATCGGTTCCATCTATTGGTTATAAGAAATAAATGAATGGAGTTAGTGTATCCCGAATCCTCCTTATGTTCATCACTTTTCGCGGGAGACATTATCTGTTGATTTTCGGCTTTCTATTTTGTATTGCAAATGGCGCGAAGCTCAACTTCGCCTCTATGTTTAAACGTGCTTAATTCAATGATTTACATTGCTTGTAATAATAACTATACTATAAAAACCAGAGAACAATGAAATATCAGAGAACCACCAATTTTTTTCCGAATGAGAAATTGTTAGTAATTTACGTGAATCCATGTGCTTATGGAATGTTGAATGAAGAGTGTTTCAAGTTTTCTCGAGAAAAATTGCAAGCCTTCTCAGAATGCAGATTTTTGTCTTTGCCGAATTGTTTTGGTAGACTTTGGAGAGTTAGGATGTCGTCTGGTATTCTTTCGGCTCAATAATTTTTTTTTTTCGTTTTCTCTAGCTGGTCGTACTGTATATTGCTCGCTGTACTGATGCAAAGTAGATACCTGTTATAATTTCGTTGCTGGGGTTCAGCAAGCCCGATTTTCTACAAATTTAGAAAACTAATTTTTAGATTTTTTGATAATTTTTAAACTAGTGTTTTGAGCACTTATGGGCGCTTATTTTTGTTGATAAAATCCCGATGCGAGGAAGCTCTTTTGAAATATTTTTTCTAATGGAACGAACTAAAGCAACATTGATAAAGGATACCCGGTTTATGTGCAAGAATGTTTCGACCACAATAATTCAAAAGCAGAGACTAAAAAAGTAGAGAAAAAAAGTTAAAAAATCTTTGTTAACTGCTTCCATCGATATCAGTTTTTTCAAAATGGACAGATTTTCTCCAAACAGGCTAACGAGAATAGAATCACTAAACTTATTAGATTTCCTTATGCGAATCAAGTTTTAAGTCCCAATATTTGCTATTAGTCCAAAACAAAGTTTATCACCCTTGCGATAAGCAGCGGTATTGCTATCGGGTACTAGACTTCTTTTCACCGTAAATAACTTTGTTCACAGGACTTATCTGGACTCATTTCCTGGAATCCCTGTTGGCATTTTATTTACCGCTTCATCTATGTTTTGTGCATGTTAGCATAATAATTATCTGTCCTGTTCACAAATTGTTTTTCATGCTGGTTGTAATTTAAAACGAAAATCGTTAGTTTTTTTTTCTTGTTCATCTTGATAGGTTTGATTATATTATATCGGCTTAGTGGCTTTATATTGCGTCGTTTGACGAGCGAAAAATGGGATCTTTTGAGCTTTTTTGTTTTCCTGTTTTATCGGCTGAATAGGTTTCGGTCTATATAGTATAGGTTCAGTGGCTCATATTGTTTCAATTGACAGGCGATTAAAGTTTGTGTGTGTGTGTGTATTTTGAGGGCGAGGTGGAACTAATAACTTTTTGTAATCCTTGGAAACATTTATTTTCACATCAAAAGGTTTCTGATAAGGCTTTGCTTTTTTCGGCTTTGTTACTGCTTGGTAAGTTTTCTTCCGATGCTTAGTTCACATTCTATTGTCTTGGCTGGTTTTGTTTCAAACCTAGCATTTTTAGTTTTTTATAGATCTAGTTTTTTTGATAGTTTCTAAATGTTACGATTTTTTTTGACATTTTTTGTTGTGCATCGCAAGTGGCGCGAAGCTCAGCTTCGCCTCTGTGTTGAAATATTTTTCACCAAAAATCATTGGAGACCAATTTAAGGGATTCTTGAATGTTTAAGGTTTTGCCCTGATATACGATCAATTTTTTTTGTTCCGACTGTCTAAGAAACTATGCAAATTATATGGTTGCGGTGTTTTTTGTTTCTGATGCAAAGTAGATACCTGTTCTAATTGATTTGCTGGGGTTCAGCAAGCCCGATTTTCTACAAAATTAGAAAACTAATTTTTAGATTTTTTGATAGTTTTTAAACTAGTGCTTTGAGCACTTATGGGCGCTTATTTTTATTGATAAAATCCCGATGCGAGGGAGCTCTCTTGAAATATTTTTTCTAATGAACCGAACTAAAGCAACATTCATAAAGGATACCCGGTTGCTGTGCAAGAACGTTTGGACCACAACAATTCAAAAGTAGAGATTAAAAAAGTAGAGAAAAAAAGTTAAAAAATCGTTGTTAACTGCTTCCATCGATATCAGTTTTTTCCAAATAGACAGATTTTCTCCAAACAGATTAACGAGAATAGAATCACTAAACTTATTAGATTTCCTTATGCGAATCAAGTTTTAAGTCCCAATATTTGCTATTAGTCCAAAACAAAGTTTATCACCCTTGCGATAAGCAGCGGTATTGCTATCGGGTACTAGACTTCTTTTCACCGTAAATAACTTTGTTCACAGGACTTATCTGGACTCATTTCCTGGAATCTCTGTTGGCATTTTATTTACCGCTTCATCTATGTTTTGTGCATGTTAGCATAATAATTATCTGTCCTGTTCACAAATTGTTTTTCATGCTGGTTGTAATTTAAAACGAAAATCGTTTTGTTAATTTTTTTGTTTTTTTTTTCTTGTTCATCTTGATAGGTTTGATTATATTATATCGGCTTAGTGGCTTTATATTGCGTCGTTTGACGAGCGAAAAATGGGATCTTTTGAGCTTTTTTGTTTTCCTGTTTTATCGGCTGAATAGGTTTCGGTCTATATAGTATAGGTTCAGTGGCTCATATTGTTTCAATTGACAGGCGATTAAAATTTGTGTGTGTGTGTATTTTGAGGGCGAGGTGGAACTAATAACTTTTTGTAATCCTTGGAAACATTTATTTTCACATCAAAAGGTTTCTGCTAAGGCTTTGCTTTTTTCGGCTTTGTTACTGCTTGGTAAGTTTTCTTCCGATGCTTAGTTCACATTCTATTGTCTTGGCTGGTTTTGTTTCAAACCTAGCATTTTTAGTTTTTTATAGATCTAGTTTTTTTGATAGTTTCTAAATGTTACGATTTTTTTTCGACATTTTTGTTGTGCATCGCAAGTGGCGCGAAGCTCAGCTTCGCCTCTGTGTTGAAATATTTTTCACCAAAAATCATTGGAGACCAATTTAAGGGATTCTTGAATGTTTAAGAATTTGCCCTGATATACGAGCAATTTTTTTGTTCCGACTGTCTAAGAAACTATGCAATTTATATGGTTGCGGTTTTTTTTGTTTCTGATGCAAAGTAGATACCTGTTCTAATTGATTTGCTGGGGTTCAGCAAGCTCGATTTTCTACAAGTTTGGAAAACTAATTTTTGATTATTTGATAGTTTTTAAACTAGTGCTTTGAGCACTTATGGGTGCTTATTTTTATTGATGAAATCCCGATGCGAGGAAGCTCTCTTGAAATATTTTTTCTAATGGACCGAACTAAATCAACATTCATAAAGGATACCCGGTTGCTGTGCAAGAATGTTTGGACCACAACAATTCAAAAGTAGAGACTAAAAAAGTAGAGAAAAACAGTTAAAAAATCTTTGTTAACTGCTTCCATCGATATCAGTTTTTTCCAAATAGACAGATTTTCTCCAAACAGATTAACGAGAATAGAATCACGTAACTTATTAGATTTCCTTATGCGAATCAAATTTCATGTTCTAAAGTTTGCTATTAGTCCAAAATAAAGTTTATTACCCTTGCGATAAGCAGGGGTAATGCTATCGGGTACTAGACTTCTTTTCACCGTAAATAACTTTGTTCACAGGACTTATCTGGACTCGACTCATTTCCTGGAAGTCTCTGTTGGCATTTTATTTGCCGCTTCAGCTATATTTTGTGCATGTTAGCATATTATTTATCTGTCCTGTTCAAAAACTGTTTTTCATGTTGGTTGTAATTTAAAAAAAAATTGATTTGTTAAATTTTTTTGTTTGTTTTTCCTTCGTCGTCTTGATAGGTTTTGACTTATATTATATCGGCTTAGTGGCTTTATATTGCATCGTTTGACGAGCGAAAAATAAAATTTTTGGGGTTTTTTTTTGGTTTACCGGCTGAATAGGTTTCGGTCTATATAGAATAGGTTTAGTGGCTCTTATTGTTTCAAATGACAGGCGGCTAAATTTGTGTATGTATTTTGAGGGCGAGGGGGACTAAATAACTTTTTATAATCCTTAAAAACATTTGTTTTCGCATCAAAAGGTTTCTGCTAAGGCTTTGCTATTTTCGGCTTTGTTACTGCTTGGTAAGTTTTCTTCCGATGCTTAGTTCTAATTCTACTGTCTTGGCTGGTTTTGTTTCAAACCTAGCATTCTTATTTTTTTTTATATATCTAGTTTTTTTTTATAGTTTCTAAATGTTTCGATTTTTTTCGATATTTTGGTTTTGTATCGCAAGTGGCGCGAAGCTCAGCTTCGCCTCCGTGTTGAAATATTTTTTACCAAAAATCATTGGAGACCAGTTTAAGTGATTCTTGAATGTTTAAGGTTTTGCCCTGATATACGAGCAGTTTTTTTTTTGTTCCGACTGTCTAAGAAATTATGGAAATTATATGGTTGCGTTGTTTTTTGTTGCTGATGCAAAGTAGATACCTGTTCTAATTGATTTGCTGGGGTTCAGCAAGCCCGATTTTCTACAAATTTAGAAAGCTAATTTTTAGATTTTTTGATAGTTTTCAAACTAGTTTATTGAGCACTTATGGGCGCTTATTTTTGTTTGATAAAATCCCGATGCGAGGACGCTCTCTTGAAGCTGCGAAGATGCGAGGTTTGAAAATTGATAATTTGGTCATTTTGCAATAATTAACGCGCGAAGTTTTCTAATGCGATATTTTGCACTAGAAGACAACTCGCATTAAAAGAGAACTCGCAGTATTCTCACCAACGTGTTGTGAGCTTGCCGTCAGAGGATAGGACCTGATATGAAATTTAGCCGTGTTATTGCCGTGAAGCGGCGACGCGTGCTTTGTGAGCCCACGGGCTACCTGAAACCAATATTCTTGTAAGTTATTTTTCAAGCTTTGCAAGTTGTAGTTTGTCACAAGTTGTCTTTTGCTGCGAGTTATCGCGGTGCCGATATATAGCGTTCTTATAACATGCGCAAGCGGCGAATTAAATCGTTCCAAATTGATTTTAAGCAAATAATTTACCTTATTCTAGGGATATGAGACGCTAAAAACATCCTTATGTGTGTACATAGCGTTTGGGGTCTAAAATGACGAAAAAAAAGTGTTCTTTTTTGGTTATTTTATCATTGTTTAACCGAAAACTTTTAATTGACCTTGAAGCTCCACCCTGATATACGGGCAGTCTTGTTTTCTTTTACTGCTTAATAAATAAATCATATTTGCAGCTGCGTAAAAATTTTTCCCCACGCTATTCCGCTTGCGGTTAGAAAGCGTTGCCAAATCGGAGCAAGACATTTTTTTATGTTAACAACTTGTTTAACAAAATCACAGTCATTTCGTCGGCTATTTCGTCAACTAACAGGCAGTTTTTGTTCGCTTAAAAGGTTGATTCAACTTTCAAATTTCGGCTCATAGTAAATCCATTTAATTGCCTCTTTTTGCGGAAAAAGTTTTTGCTTCGAAGGAGGACTCAAACTTTTGATGACACTTTCTAGGCTCAATGGGTTTCTGCCCGAATTTTATCGGCTTCGTATTTTTCGTTTCAAGTTTAATTCTAACTGGCAATTCGTGAAACATTTTCCTCAAAATGAACTTCATTGGAGAGAAATTGAGTTAATCGTACCAAAAATTAGATTTAGCTTCGTCTCTGCAATTAATTTTTTTTTGTTGTTCCTACCTTTTGCAATTCTCTAAAAGGCTCACAACTGCAGAATTGTTTGTCACTTTTGTTTTTGTAGACTGGCCATGAGTTCACTGTTCCTAAAACGCAGTTTGATTTTTGTGACCGGATCCAGCCGCGGGTTCGGAAAAGAAATAGTCCAGCAGTTTGCAAAGAAGTTTTCAGAGTCTTCTTGTTTCGTTCTCATTTCACGCTCAAGCGAGGCTCTAAAAGAAAGCTGTGATACTCTGAAGGAAAGTTTTTTACTACATGAATTCACATCCTACGCCTGTGATCTCAGTAAAACGGCCGACGTTTCTGCGTTGTGCGAAAACATATCGAAGGATTTCAGTGGCAAATTGTCGCAGTACAAAAGCGCATTGTTAGTACAGAATGCAGGCACATTGGGTATGTATTGAAAACACAGCTTTTGAAACCAAGAAAATTGTAAATATCAAATTTTAGCATCGAATTGCGACAAGAATTAATTTTTGGGTCTCATATTTTTCTTCGGATATTACAACAGTTTTTTTTCTGTTTTTGTTTTTTTTTTCTATGGGAAAATTAGCATTCAGTAAAACTCATCTCAAATTTATTCATAATCAAAAAAATTAGATGATATTTGAGGGGTAGAGAAACTTAATCTACGTACTCTGCTTCTTAGCTGCAGTTTCGTTTCAGGTCAGATCGAAAAATCAGCGGTTGATTTGGATGACATCGGGGCACTGCAGGAGTACATGTGTACTAACATCTCCTCTTACATTCTACTAAACTCTGCCTTTCTGAAGCTGCTCAAACCAGTAGACTACGCAGAATTAGACCGGTTAGAACGCGTCACAATTGGCTTTTGTGGTCTTTTCTGTTTTGTGGTCTTTTCTGTTTTGCGGTCTTTTCTGTTTTGCGGTCCAAATTTACCAAAACTGTAATGAGCTAATATGCTTGAAATACCTCTTCAGGTTTTCTTCGCATTTGTTAATTTAATTCCATCAGAATCAACTTTTCTCATTCAGTGTTCAATATAGCAAACTGTTGAATTTTGGGCCCTATAGCTGGAAAGACTCGGCTTTTGAATTATTTGTTTGTCAAGATTTCATTTTTTCCTGTTTTTTTTTGTTTTTTGTTTTAATTTAGGATCTCCTTTGCTTAGTGGAGCTTATTTTGTTCATAGATTGTTTTTCATTTTACTGTTTTGCTCAATTTGTTGGCAAGTTAGTTCTGACGCATATTGTGATGCTTTTTTCGGTGATGCTGTTTTTTGTTTGGTTTATAGTGAAATACGTTTAATATCATATAATGTATGCTGCTTCTGAGTGTAAGGCTTACATGGAAATCAGTTCAAGTCTTATCAGTCGCCTGATAGTTTGGACAGTGGAGCTAATCATTCGGGAAGAGAAGATCGAGGGATCAAATCCAGGCTTAAGCACAAACATTTTTTGTTTTTAAATATATATTTTTTTCGTTGTATTCATCAGTTCCATGCTTGTTTCTGCTCTTTCTTTGCTTGTGTACTCGAAGAATTGTTTTTTTTTGTTGTCATAAATAACATCAATTGTAGCTGCAATACTTCCACTGAAGTTTCGCTCTAGGTTTTAACTGGGCATTTGAATTAAAATTTTGTTTAACTGACTACATTTATATGAGGGCTTCAAATCCCTCTGAGACGTGGCTCAGACTGCAAAATGGAGTTATGATTTGTTTCTGGTGTTCAGACCAAGCCGATTCACTTTTTCATGAATTGTACTTTTTTTGAAAGCGTGATTAGAGTTTTCGAAACTAGATTAGCTTGTTTTTTACAAAGCACTTTTTTCGGATAATCGGAAACAAGTGTCCTACAATGCAGGGCAGGGTTTAGGATTTTCTGGAGGGGGGAATTTATCTTTTTTTGTCTTTTTTAGGTCGACCAAATTGAGTCTCCCAAAGCACTAAAAGGACCCTGGCACTTTTAGGCTTTTTTGAAAATGTTGACCAAAAAATACCCTCAAAATTAATATATATTGGCGCCTTTAGAAAAAATTTAGGGTGTGTCAGCCAAAAATTGTTTTACAAAATTTTACAAAGTGGGCACCCTTTGGGTCGGCAGGTGGTCAAATCCCTGAATGGGGCGTCCGCCACCAAACCCCCCTCCCCTTTCCTCCTCCGCCGCCTCCCCTCTAAATCCGCCCCTGTTACAATGCTTGCTCTAATTTAAAAAACTCATCAATTGAACTGGAATAGGTCTGGTTGTTGTTGTAGCTACACCCATCTTTGTTTCGAACGTCTGGTTGAATTTGAGAGATCGATTTAGTTGAGAAACTTGTAATATTTTTTTATCCGATCGTGTTATCCAAGTCTATCAGTGTAGTTCCCGGGGGGTCTCTGTTTTGTCTTTGTTCTGGGTCGACGCCTGTGTTTTATAGCTTGCTGAATAGTGAGGTCAGAATTTAGAAAAAAAGGCCGAGTTTTCTGAGCTTGGAGAACCGATTGAAACTCCATGCCTGCTCCATGAAACTCGATTAGAGAACTCGAAAGAGAACAGAGAAAAGCTGATGAGCGATGGGCTACGGATGTTTGGCAGCTTCGGGTTTCTCCCGCAAGCTCCCTATATTGTGAGCCTTTTGATAAATATTTGGTGGTTTGTGATCATTCGTAACAAATTGGGCAGACGACGGTTGCTGTTATTCAATCGATAATTGTAGCTAATGAGGTGTGATGAGCGCCCAGTTCGAACTTGTTGGGTTTTCAAGTTTTACTTTTGGCTACTGATAAAAGTGGCGGTTTTCGGCCGAGTAATTTCAGTCTTTCAGTAAGAAAACCTTGTACTTGTTTTGTGCGCTAGTTTTTTTGCGCTACTAAGTTTTAATTTTCTTGCTTAAATAGTTATGGATTAGCAAATGCTCAATGCCGGCTAGAATTTGTGTTCGAGGATAGGTCTGATCACCGCAATAAAACTTTTGTTGTTGACTATGGCGGTCGGATCTATATTTTGTTATCGTTTAATTCTGTTGATTTAGAGGAAGGATTTTTCCTTTGGATTTGCGATGTCATTTGTTCTTAAGCACCCTGTAGTAATTTGTAGTGTGTCGTTTTGTTTTACCTACATAGCCTTCCAGGTAGCGTTACTCAGTGTGACGGTCCAAATAGGAGCTGCATAGTTCAGGAAACTCCTCCCAATTTGCCTCTAAATTACGCTGAGTGTTTCTTTTGAGTGACTCCAAGTGACCCTTGTAAATTCTTTGGAGGTTGTTTTTCAGTGGTTTCGCGTATGCGTTAAAAATTTTGGCTAAAATTATTCCGAAATTGATTTAAGTATGCCAATTGGTCATAACAATCTGTTAGTAGATGCGAACAATACAATTAAATACAAAATCTCCCCAGTACTTTGTATTTTCGTAAAATGGAAGGATTTCTTGCTAGCGTTTTATACCATTTTATTTTTAATCCAAAAATTAGTTCAGACGCCTCAAAAAACACTTTTTTCCAGGCAAATTACTGTATTAATAGTTTTCGTAATGCGGAACCTAGTCAAAAGTGATCATTCAAATTTGTCTTCTGGTGATTCAGGAATAAGTTAATTAGTTTTTTCTTTTTTCGCAGTTTGTTTTGGTGTAACCACAAATCCGTTTGCTAGAAGGAAGGCAAGTTACTCTCTCTAATAACAAAATGTGTAATGGCGCAAAAAAAACGTCAATGACTCTGAGGATCGAAAATGAATTTTAGATTAATTTTTCTAAAATTGGGTTCAAAAAGGCATCATTTATAAAAAAAAATTGTATTTCATAAAGCTTTGGGGTGGTATTTTTTTGTCTCAAAATTCTTCAAATAAAACTGTCGATTGACTATGTTTTTAAATTATGATTTTTTGGGTCTTTTCATTTATAGCATCCAGACTAGTCACAAAAACTGACGATCCGAACGCTGTTTGAGTTATCGTCCACTTTTTGTTTTTTTTCTTTGTCTATTCGATTTCTATCCTGCCTTTTAGCTGGATTATCAACATCTCCTCAATATGTGCAACTGTACCAATGGCAAGTCAAACGGAGTATGCCAGCATCAAAGCGGCCAGAGAAATGGCCTTGAGGGTTCTCCAGATTGAGAACCCAAAAGTCAGAACCCTCTCCTACTCTCCTGGACCCCTGGAAACGGACATGAGCGATGAATTGAGGAGTAAGTGGACACAAAAAGAGGCGACAAAGTCATGGAACTATTTGACATGTGAACAAAGTGTGAACAAACTGGTTGTAATTTTGGAGGAAAACAAGTTTGAAGGAGCTTGTAGAATTGACTACTTTGACCGAAACTAAAACAGCCTGTTCGGTTTGCAGTAGTTTTGAACCAAATTCGTGCAGAATCAGTTTGAAAACTACATGAGATTTTTTAAAAGCATTGATTCTTTTGAGTAAATGTATATATTGATGATGTTCCTTCTTTGTCTTCTATCTGAAATTTAAATATTTAAACACAATCAACATTTACAGAGCGTAATTAAAACGTTTTTTTTTTCCAATAATTTTTTTTGATTTTCCTCAATTTTTGAACTTTAATTCGAGAGTGCTCGTCTATTGGTCAAAACAAATGAAAAACGTGCCAGCCTGAAATTGATTTTCTCAAAAAGTGTTCAAAAACGATACGAAGTATAAATAAGATTACCGGTATCAAGGCAAAACCCTGAATGATCCAACCGCACTCCCGGGTTGACCATAAATGCTAGTCATTACTCTTGCGATAAGCAAGGGTATTGCAACCGGGTACTAGACTTTTTTCCCGTTAATAACAATTTTGGTCACAGAATGGTCAATTTAGAAATGATGAATTTCAAGACATGCTCAGTTTCTTGAAAATTCATATAAAAGTACCTCATTTAGGTTGTTAAGTTAATATGTGGAGTACATTTGGGGCAGATATTATTTTATCAGATAAGTTTATTGATAAGTGTTGATTTTTTTCGGACTCGTGGTATTCGGCCTAATTTCCGTCCGTTCAATTTTCGTTTTTTAAAAATATCATTTTCATTGTCTGGTCCTAATTTGTAAAGCATGTATTTTATTATGATTGTAATTTTTTTTTAATATAAATGAATGTTCTGTAATTTGTCATTTTACCACATCTGATTTTGAACAACTTTTTTTCAAGTTTTTTTTTTTCATTTAAATGGTTTCGGCTGATGTTGCAGCTGCTTAGTCAAGTCATATTTTGTTTTTTAACAGCAAAAAAAACCTGTTCGAGAAAATCATGTTTTTTGAAAATGTGTGGGATTGGGTTCTTTGGACTTTTTGGAGTTGCTTCGATTTTTCACATGTCAACAAAACTACTCTGCCGGAATTCAAAAAGCGTATCAGCAAAAAAGAGCGCTTTTCCCCCTGTTTGTCTGCATAATCATCTTGTCTTTTTGCTTTTACCCTTTTGTCTACAGCCTTCGAAAAAATCAGTGGGGGAAATGTTTGGACCATATTCTTGGATTTTTTTTTCGTTTTCTCAAAAACTACTCTCCCAAGTTTAAGACTTTGGATTCAACGCATAGAATGCCTAATGGCAAGTTCACCTGCATAGCTTTTGCGCTCAAATTTTTTCTACAAAATTTCATGGCCCTCAGATAAATCATTAATTGGTTTTTGTACATTCTTTTGAAACTATCTGACTTTTTTCGAAAAGGAAACTCTCAATTGTTGATTTTTTTGCGTTCAATCGATACAAGTGATTGTGTGAATTTTTTCTGCTTAAGAGGCTACCCCCAAGTGTTTTTACAGAAAAGGTAAATTTCGCGGAACAGTCAAATTTTAAATTTTTGATCATTTTTGAAACTTTTTGACTCTTCCATCGAGAATTCCGGTTTTGGTAAAATTCTGAAATTAAGCGGCCTTTTATAGACAATTTTGTAGATAAAGTATAGTTTTCGGAAAGTCAAGTTTTTGAACATTTGAACGTTTTGTAGAAACTTTTTGATTTTCATAGAAACTATCCTATCAACTTTGAAATGAAGGGTTCGATCGAAGGAACTGGTTGAGAGCAATTTTCCTTGGCGACTCCTTATTTTTTGTAAGGAAAATTTCATTTATTTGAGAAGATAGCAATTTCTTAAAAATTTTCACTCTTCTCACTTAGTAGAGAAGCAACTAAGGTTTCTGGCAAAGTCCAATTTTTCAAATTACCTATTTCAACCAGCATAAGTAAAACCAATTCATAAATATCAAACAGCTTTCTCCAAGTTTTACTGGACCCCTAGTTTTCTTTTATTGACTATACGAACGAACGTTTTGGTTTCTCTAGGTTTTAATTCAACGTATTTTTTTCGACGTACGTTTTTGTTAGGTTTGTGATGTATCGCAAGCTGCGCAAAGCTGAGTTTTTCTCTGTGTACATTTTTTGATACTCTGTGTCAGTGCTTGTCATACTTTTTTCATGTGATTCCATACAGAAAATTGCATGAAAGGTGTATGGTTTGCAATTTTCCATACATGCAAACTGTATAGATAGCACTTTTCCGTAAACCAAAAAGTGGTTATTCTACGTTTATTTTCTCAATATTCTAAATTTTTGTTTGTGTTCACAATCAAACAAAAATGACAGACCCTGGTTAATCAAAATTCTTACAGTCCTTAACAATTTTTTTGGAAACGTTCTTAATTTAGTTGTTTTACTTAAACAATATAATGAAAAAAGCAAACTTCTAATTTTTGTATTATTCATTCACTGCTCAGGACATACAAAAATATGCAACTCATAAGAAATTGATTTTTTGAGCGTTTTTGAAAAAATATATACAGAGAAACAGAAGCATATAGCAACTTTTGAGCATCCAGGACTACGTTGTGTACGCACAAAGTTAAATTTGCAAGAGAACAATTTGCGTTTTGCGCTTGAAAAGACAAAAAAGAAAACAATTTTGGAACAATTATCAAACTTCTCTCTAAACTTTTTAATGTCACCATCGAAAAAATACTAGTCATAAAATTTTCATTTATCGTAATTTTATAACAAGCATTTTTTGGCAAAACATTTCTTTTTAATTATAATAGTTCTTTCAACGACTTTTATGCTGAAGCAAGAAAAAAAACTCTTTTAAAATCGACTTAACTATTCTAGCAAAAATGTATGAAGTTTGTATGACTAATGTTTTTTCATAGACTTAATTTATGGAATTGTTTGGTTAGAAATTTAAGTCTGTGGAGTCAAACGGGGCTTTAAGATACCTGCAGAAAGGTTATACAGAAAGCTTGAAAGGTTTGCTCTTTTTTGCTGTTCAGGGTTTTTCTTCTATGCATAATTTCAAATTACAAAATGATTTGTATCTCATCTAGTAACACCCCTGGTCGACCAAAAAAAGGTAATTGTATCACTAACCTTTTTTGCCCAAAAATTTCTCTTTAGTTACGATAATACAACGACTTTTTTCTCTCTTGTTTTTAGGGCTTAATATCCAGGCCTAATGTCAAATGCAATATGATATCTTCTCATCTAGTAACACTCCGGGATGACCAAATCTGTTAAATGGTATGATTAGCGCTTTTTGCCAAAAAATTCTCCATTTCATTTGTGGCGATAGAGAAACTTCTCTGCCAGAACATGAAGAAAGATCTTTTTGAATTGAACTACCCAATTTCAGCAAAAAATTTTTTCTACTTTATTTTCATGGAGTTAACTTATTGAATTGTACGACAAGTTTTTTCCGTCTATTGAGGTCAAACCATGATTTTGTTTGGGTCAATTAAGTAGTCTCATTTTCTTAAGCGATGATTTAATTCGAAGTAAACGCTATACGTTATTATAAAACTTAAAAATAGCGTGCATTGAGGTTCCCAAATTATTCATTTTCAAACTCCATAACGATACAAAAAAGGTCGCATTAAAAATATTTTTTTTTGATATGGAGCTCAGGACAATAGATTTTGATAAGCCTAAAGATGTGGTCAAAAACAATTTAAATAATCAAATTGGTCAGAGTATAATTTAGCCAAAGAATAAATGTTCCATCATTTTCTTCGGAAGTTGAAACGAAAAGCGAAGTCTAAACCAGGTATGCTAAAATCTATGTCGTTGCCACAAATTTGTTAATGCATTTTTCGTTTCAACTACTTTGCCGTTGTAACCTTTGTGATGTTTCAAATTAAAATTAAAATTCCTGCAACACGCGATTAAGTATAGTGCGTTGCTGTACGAGTTGAACAAATTTTCAAAAAAAAGTTATTCATGTTATTCCGCAAAACGACTTTTTCGCTAAATAATAAGTAAAAGTTGTACCGATCACTTTTTCAATGACCTCTTTTTTGCACTAAAGACGATGACAAAGTCTACTTGAGTGGTGTCACACTGTACTTACACATTGAGTGTGCATATTACTTGAGTTTTATGTTGGATTATAGTTCGAGCTGAAGTTTATGCCGACGGCAAGAAAGAAAGTGAGGTAAACGATGCCGTTGAAAATAAGCTGTCCAGTTGATAGTAATAACCATAATGATAATTTCTGCGATTCACCAAGAAAATACAAAAAGCTATCAGGCCTGTTTAAACAAAGTCCGTTTTGCTTATTACTTCCCTACATTCCAGCCTGTGTTTTTGTTGCGGAAAGGTCTTTTTTGCGACTCGAGTCTGTTTTTTGTAAATGTAGACTTTTCACATAGCATCACGATTACCGCTGAACCGATCAGGCTATGGTAGACCTGAAGCTAGAAGTTAAGTAAGAGCTTGTTGTCACACTCTATCATTGTCGTGGCAGGGAGTCGATTACTCGTTTTGACGATCACAAAGTGAACGCTACACCACTATGCTGAGTGCCCTCACTCATTCGTTTGTCTACCAGTCGGTTGGTAGGTTGTCGCGGCAACTGCTGGGTTTTCGGTAACAATCGGACAAAATAGCCAGTATTGATATTATATGCATTCGGCTGAAGTCAAATTGAGACTGTTAATGCAACGCGAACAGAAGATTCTCGTTGATGTCTTCTCTTCTTTCTAGTTATCTTAAGTGTCAAGCACTTTACAACGCCGAGACTATATAAGAATGTCGATGTCGTGAAATCTGCTTTCTGTGAATGAAATGCGAAGCGCCCTAAGCTGATGCAATAATCAACAGCTTTATTTCGAAATTCTTATGGAAATTTTCTATCAAATTTTCTTTTGGAACCATGCCTTCGAATCGGCGAATTTTTGCATGCTGTAGCAAGTTTGTTTCCATGCTATCGAGACTCATTTTTGACAATTCCAGAATGTCGAGATTGATATCCAGAATATCTCTAAAATTGCTGGCAGACCTAATTTTCGTTCTTGTTGAAAACTGTTTGTCATCCCGCTAACTCAGCATCATCCCA